CATTAGAGAATCGTTGTTAGTCGCCATCATCAGAGTTATGCCACCGCCGATGTTATCTTCATCTATATTTTTTATGTTTTGTTGTTTTGTTTTTTCAGCTTAAATCGATCTCTTCCTTATCAAACTGGGGAAGGATGTTAGTGACTAGGATTATGCTAATACCCATTAGGGTTAGACTACTATCCAAGTATCCATTAGGGTTTATGTTAGGTCAAGAGTCCATTTTGTATTTCTATTTATCCGAGGTTAAATCATCTATATAATCAAGCAATATCAAACTATCTACTATCTTACAAAGTTTTGTGGTTTGTATATGAAATTTGGTTAGGCGCATGTAAGTTGGTTTTGTTTATTTGAATATATATGTTTGTAAATATGTCATAATCATATAAATTACATTGTTTTCTTATAATTCAATTTAATGAAATGTGATAAAACCATTAACGTGAATAACGTTATTCCACCAAATTATTGTAAGGGGCTTTCTCGACTTCTCTCGTCGCAGTTGATAATGTGTATATGTAAATTTGTAAAAAGTTCGACAAAAATAGCAAAAATGTTATGATATAAAATTATAAATGTCTAACTGATGGCTTTTGTTTAATCGACACATAAATATGATATACATTCTACCTTCTATTTTTTTTATATTACATGAGGGTAGAGATTGGTGGTGGGAAGTGGTTGACGAGGATGTTAGTAGTGAGATTCCATGACAACCTCACTTGTTTGCATGATGGAACCTCTTTCAATATGATTTTAATTATGCCATAAAAGTAAATTGAATCTAAAATAAATATATGTTAAATTATATTTTATTAAAATAATACATATTTTAAAATTCTTGAAGGTTGTCAAGACCAGCAAATAATCATGAACTATATTTAATAAATTATATCAATTGAAGAGAAGGTCATGTACATATAAATTCGGTTTATCAAATCGTGCTAGAAATTCATGTTAATAAGAGCATTGGGTGTGGGCAACAAGGTGCAACACCAAATGTGTCACCTCACATGCCACATAAGCAAGTGGTGTTATAACACCAAGTAGGGAAATGGACAACAAGATATAACACAAACTTTTTGAAAATAAATATGTTTTATTTTTGATTTTTTTTTTCAAAATTGGTTTTTTTTTTTACTTATTTTTTTTTTCGTTTATTTCCTTTTTGCATTTTTTTAATCACTAACATGAATATATTTTTTATAAAACATAAAATTTTAAAAACAAAAAAAAGACATAATATTTAAAATCTAAAATTACGATTACAATTAAAAAAAACATAATTTTAAACCTAAAATCATAACTAAAATATCATTCAAATTACTACTAAAACCACATAACAATCCTAATTAACCCAAATATTTCTTCATAATTTGTTCCTTCATCGCTTGTAGCACCGCTAGATCAGCAGGCGTCAAACCCTTCTCGCTCGTCCGAAGAATTGACAACTGATGTGTCATTAGTTCCCTCTCTTTTTGCTTCTGCTTCTCCCGTGCCTGCCTTTCCAGGAACTCCAAATGACGACGTTTCAACTCATTTTTTTCTTTTATTAATAAATTGTGTTCGTCGAATTTCGCTTTCATTTCTGCCGCCTCTTTTGCTCTCGTCTCCACCTCCTTTCGCATGTCTTGCAGTGCGCCTCGCTTTGTCGCGTCCGGGCGGTCGTCGTGGTGGGGATATCTCTTGGATATCATCCGGGATCTCATCGTCGTCGGCGTTTAGGTCGATTTGTTGTCGTGGTCTGACACGTCGACCGAGCTAGAATTGCGAGACCTTTTGGATTGAACCTCCGACGATGTAGGCGTTTTATTTCACTTTGGATCCGCTCGCAACAATTCTCATGATTTTTCAAAGTCGAAAAACATGACCCATTTCAACCCGATATTGTTCCTTAGCAGATTTGAACAAATCGAAGTCGTTGGTTCCGCTTTGTTGTTGCGCCTCAAGCCGGTTGTAAATACCGTTGAATTTGCTGCACCGCTTAGTTATTTGACCCATTTGCCGCTCAACATGTCATTGTTGCGATACAGATTTTTCTTTAAAATAGCGTGAAACTTGTCGAGCACCGCCCCCCAATAAGCTCTTTTTTTCATTCCATTTCCGCAAAGTTCGTTTTTTGAAGTAGCACACCAAGCCGCCGTCAAAGCGTATTCCTCCTCCGGTGTCCACCATTGTGGAACGTCTGCATTTTCTGTTTCTACCGCTATCGATTTCCCTTTCGATTTTCCTTTCCCTTTCCCTCTCCTACTACCTCCCGCTTCCACTTCAACCGATTGTTGTGTTGTAGGCGATGGTTGGTTGGTTGTTTGTTGCGTTGAAGCAAAATTAGGGAAAATATTTTGTTGTAAATTTGGGTTTTGACCAAATAAATTTTGTTGAATGAAAGGTGAGTTAGGAAACTGCAGTGGCGGTGAAGCGGGATTGAAAGCGACGCCTTGGTATGAGTTTGTGGTGAGCCTTGAGACGATAAAATGTTGAAATAATTTCAAACCCGCGAATCGAGAGGCAGGGAGGTTGTGTTTGGGTTTGATGACGGAGGGGGGGTGTTTGGGTTTTGCTCCATTTTTTAAGTAAGAAAGTTTATAAAAGTATAGAGAGAATGTTAAAAAAGATGTAAAATTTGAAATAAAATGAGTATATATATCTAATATATATATATTATATATATATATATATCTATATATATATATCTATATCTATAGGTAAAAAGGTCATTTTTTTTTTGTTTGAATGCGACCGTTTTGCAAACGGTCATAAGCCACAACGGTAAGTTTTTCCGCGTTTCACTTCGTTTCGATGGCCACGAGAACTGAAGGACGAGATGCAACAAGTTGGGGGGGGGGGCGGTGTTCCCCCCGTTAAGACGGCGTTGCGGTGTGCCACGTAAGCCGCGTTGTGTCTCGTTTTGACCCATACCGATCGGTCTAAGCGGCAAAAGCCGTTCTAAATTAAAAAATAAAGGAAAATAAATAAATATATAAAATAAAATAAAATCTACTATAATAAATGAAAATAATTTTGCCATATATTAATCTCTTTAGTTTTGACATCTGTCATTTTGTGATATTTTTTTAAATAAATAATATCCACATGTCAATTTATGATTTTTTTCAACTTTAAAATTTAAAAAGTCACATAATCTTATACTTATATATATAAAGTATCAAATGTAATAAATATTATACTAAATTGCAATTAATATGTTTCTTCATTTCTTATTTAAAAATTTTATTTTAAAAAATACTTATTATTTATATTTTAATATTTTATTTTCTTTAATCAATCCGTGTAATACACGGGTTTTACACCTAGTAGTAAAATAAATTAAATGCATTCATGCTAAGTAAACTCCCAAAGAGCTAAACAAACAATTACATCAAAATATTCAAAAGTTGAGTTTTGTAACCAAGATACCCAAATGAGTGATACTTTTGTTATTTTTAGAAACTACCCAATTAAAAGAATATAAAACAACTTTTTCAAACAACTTTTTTTTCCTTTAAAGTTATTAAGATGGAATAGCTTTGTATTCCTTGCCGACCATATCTCTCACATTGTTGTCAATGTCACCATTTAAATCACATTTTTCTTCATAGGAGTCAGGGGTTGGATTTAACAGAGTTTTGTCCGATTTGTGTAGGGCTTGATAATTTGAAGGTTATCTAGAGGGGTGTGTGGGTAGGAGGGACGACTCGACTCTTTCGTTGACTTTTCATAGGACTTTTGCTTTAGACCTTCATTAGGACCAACGTGTTCATAATTTTTTGGATCAACATAATGAATTTGTAATTATAGTAGTATTTCATATACATTATGTTCATGAAAGCTATGATATCAAGGAACACTTTGAGAGATGAAAATACATGCTTAATTGTTGCTTCCTCTTTCGTTGCCTTTTCTTTTTCCACTAGATCATTTCTCACCGGAGCGTTTTCTGCTAGATTGGTTCCCACCAACAACTAATCGATTGGGTGCATTACATTAAAGCCTATTCCATAGGAGAACCACCACTATCTACCAACACTTGAAACTTTTTGAATAATGTTTCTCAAGTGGTTCACGTATTCTCATTGACTATCTCTATAACATACTGCAATGTAAGATGTTAGAAATAAAATTCATATTAAGTATGTCTTCCACACCTATCTTTTTGACCAAATTTAATATTTTAGGAAAGTTTATATTTGACGAAAATTTTACACCATGGATCTTAACAAAAGCCTAATGTATTAATTTGACTATTTACTGACTGTCATGAACCACCGATACAATTAACAACAAAATACTTAGTAAAATTTGAATCCATAGTATTTTGCCATGTAAATGATACTGACCAATTGTTTATTATAAAGGTTTAATGTTTAAGAAAAACCATTATTTTTTCTTAAATGTACAATATTAATGTGAGAGTCATCGGTACGGAAAATTGAAAAATATAAGATTATGCCAGGAAACCTGCAATTTCGTTGCTACTAGATGAGAGGTGCTACTAGATGAGAAATCGTTTTTCTTAGATGACAACAATTTCACATTTGTCATATGAGAAAAATGATTTCTCACCGATCATAGTAAATGAAAAAGAATACGTGCCTAAACCATAAACCGGTCATAATTAATAAAAAAGAGTATGTACCTAATTTTTGCAATGTGAACTCACTTCAATAATTTTTGCAATTTATCTAATTTTTGCAATTTATCCTTGGTTCAATCCCAAACAAGCATAAGAAGTATCATATACGAAAATCATCAATGAACGGTCTTATATATGCAAGCTCACCTTCCATATTCCATTATGCTTACACTTTCAAGACCTAAACCTTTTAAAAATTCTACACTTATTACTCAACCATAACACATAGAAAACATAAATCACTAAACGACACTTACAATTCATGATATGATAGATGCAACCCATTTCCCACATATACCCATATCGTGTACAACTTTCAAGTATACTTTACACTTCTGACTTTTCTTCTTCTTGAAGAAATCAGGGTCGCTCACTTGGCGCTGGCGAGGTCGGCGCGGAGCTTCTTGGCAGCGGTGACCATGTTCAAAAGAGCAGGTTTGACCTCCCCGTACTTCCTTGTCTTCAGGCCACAATCCGGGTTGACCCACAAGATGTTGGTCTCCAAAACGGCAAGCATCTTGTTGACCCTGTCAGCAATCTCCTCCATGGAGGGGATTCTTGGAGAATGAATGTCATACACACCGGGCCCGATTCCAGCACCATATTTCACTCCCTCACGGAACACAGACAAAAGCTTCTCATCAGATCTTGAGTTCTCAATGGTGATGACATCAGCATCCATGTTGATGATGGAGTGGATGATGTCATTGAAGTTTGAGTAGCACATGTGGGTGTGGATCTGTGTGGTGTCAGCAACGCCTACATTTGTGATTCTAAAAGAGTGAACAGCCCAGTCCAAGTAGAAGGCATGCTCTGCCTTCCGTAGTGGCAATCCCTCTCTCAATGCTGCCTCGTCAATTTGGATAACCGTGATTCCGGCCTTCTCAAGATCCTCAACTTCATCCTTGATTGCCAGAGCAATCTGGTAGCAAGTCTCGAATCTGGAGACAAAGAGAAATTGTCAGTTTTAGCAACGTACTTTTTGTGTGTGTGTGTGTGTGTCTATATATATATATATATATATATATATATATATATATATATTGGATTTTGTGTTGGAATAGTGATTTATACCTGGGCTGGTCGTTACGGACAAAGGACCAGTTGAGAATGGTGACGGGGCCGGTGAGCATACCCTTCATGGGGCGTTTGGTCATTTCCTGGGCCATGGATGACCAGAAGACGGTCATGGCCTTGGGTCGGCTGACATCACCGTAGATGATTGGGGGCTTCACGCACCGAGATCCGTAGGATTGCACCCATCCGTTTGCGGTGAAGGCAAAACCGGACAGCTGCTCACCAAAATACTCAACCATGTCGTTTCTCTGAAACAAACATTACATGCAGTTTTTTAGCCAACCCCCTTTTTTATGAAACCGATTAAAATGAATTAATTTAGATTGTGTTATCAAATATACCTCTGGCTCTCCATGGACAAGGACATCGATGTCAAGTTCTTCCTGGAGTTGGACAACTTTGTAGATCTCCTCCTTGATGGCCTTAACATATTCTTCCTCAGAGATTCTATAAATATAAACATATACTTTTTAGAGAATTTTTTTATAAAAAGTGAGCGAATCAGTGTGAAATTATATAAAAGTATCCAAACCACTCACTTTTTAGCCTTGTACTCACGACGAACTCTCCTGAGCTCGATGGTTTTGTGGGAAAGAGCCAATGGTGGTGGTTGGGAGGATTGGAAGGTTGAGCTTCTTCTGTTGGGCATCCAGCCTGGCACTGACATTGGTGGCACGACGGTGGTCTGAGCCTCTCAAAGCAGCGGCCTGAGAATGCAGGTGTCAGCATCAACTTTTTTTTAACAGTATATATATATATATATATATATATATATATATATATATATATATATATATAAGGAAGGGGGTTTTTAATCACTTACAGCCGTCTGCACGGATTCATTTGTGACTCTTGGGGAGGACTTCCTTGAAGCCTGAGCAGCAGCATTGGCTGAGAAGTAGGCCTCGTCTTTGTGACCAGCTAGAGCCTTGGCCAATGCATTGACTTCAACAACCTTCTGAGCAGCAAACGCAAGCCATGATTTGATTTCATCATCCAATTTGGTCTCATTAATAAGATCGACAGCAGTGTGAAGGAGTGAGCAAGAGGTCGAAACCACAAGCTTATCTACATATTTCACATTTTATGTTAGGGAATTCATTCGGGTAAATAAAAGGAAAAGATTAATATGGTTAAAACGAAAGAAAAGCACCTTTGCCCACATTGCCCTCGAGAGACTCGAGGACAGTGAGAGAACCAGCAAGATCATTAGCCCAGATGTTCCTTCCATCACAACTCCAGCAAAAAGGTATTTCCCAGATGGGAAGCTGCTCTTGATCAATTCAAGAGTCTTTTCACCACGGATCAAATCAAAAGTGAAACCAGCAACTCCAGGCAATGAAGTTAGGGTTTTGAATGCTTCAGCGGGAACATCAGCAAAGTAGGTGGCAACAATAACATTAAGACCAGAGCAGGCTGATTCTAGCTCAGAGTAGGCCTTGGTGAAAGCTTCCAATTGGTACCCCTCAAGATCCTTCACAAGGGTAGCCTCGTCAAACTGGATCCATGTAGCACCTGCTTCCTTCAACTCGGCAATCACTTCCCTGCAGGGGTAATTATTGTTGTAATGAAACTGGGATTCTACTTTATTGTGAAGAACATGAAAATGATCATGAGAAAAGAGGCATACTTGTAGATTGGAAGGATTTTATCAAGAAGGGACAGAAGATCAAAGGTTTTCTCAACACCCTTTGCAGGTTTTTGACAGCAATAAGTAGCTGACTGGGCCAACAAAGACTGGTACGGTATCAACTCCAAGCTGCATTACGAAAAACCAACCAACATATTAACCAAAAAAGATTACTAAATCCTGTTTAAAAAATCTGGAAAGAGCATATCAACAACACATACAGCCTTAGCCTCCTTGTATTCGGTCACAGCCTTGTGAGAAGCATAAGAGAATTGCACGTCAGGGCCAACTCTGGGACAATGAAGTGGCTGTTCATCAAGGCATCAGTATTATTAGAATATGGTTACGATTCAAATCGACAAGATCCAAAAACCTAAGGGGGGCAATATGAAACTTACTAGTTGGTGTCAAACCACTTGGTCATTTCCATAGCTGGGACAGAGGCGTTTCCTCTGGCCATGGAGAAGTAAGTGTCGAAACCAATCTCACCACCATTCCAGTTGTATCTTGAGGGGACAGCACCAAGCATGGCAGTGGTGTCAAGAACCTGATCATAGTAAGAGAAGGTGTTGCTGGGGATGTACTTGATGCCAGCATCAGACATCTGTTTCCAGATGGATGATCTGAGATCAGCAGCCACCTTCTGCAAATCCTCAGCACTGCTCTTGCCATCCCAGAAAGATTCAAGAGCAAATTTCAGCTCTCTCTTGGGGCCCATACGGGGATAACCAACAATGTGAGATGCCATTGTCCTGTTTCAACCACAAGTCAAAAATTTTAACAAAAACAGCCAATCATATTTTTAAGGGCATGCCATATATATAAATCCTAAAGCATCATTCTTGAAAAGAAAAGAGTTCTTCTCAACAAATTAATCCTAACATGGCCAGGTACAGAAGCAATCATGCATGATGTCCGACAAAGTGTATACTCCAGATTAGGTTATTCTACCACTAAAAAAGCACGTTTCGCAACAAGATAGAGTTAATCAAATGAAAGAATTAAAGCTTACTTATGTTGCTCTAATCATGACCATAGTCAAAACCATCTGCCTACCCACCAACCCCAGATACTACTTTTTTACTATATCTGATATTGACTAGAACTAATTATAAAAAAAATAAAAAATAAAAAAAGGAAAAACATAACAGGGATACGTTTTATCATGAAGGAAGAGTTTTCACTTAAACCTACTTCTATAAATTTTATTCTATTCATGTAAGAAATGTAAAAGGAGCCATCTCAAATCCCCTATCCGGCCCATGTACATAAAGCTTATAGTTAACATGTCACACCTAAAACACAGATCCATTTTAGAAAACTGAAGAGGATGGCAAGCTGTTCTATTTATTGCAAGACAAAATCTCAGCGATCGAACCAAAATCATTTTGTAAGTAAATTGATTTTGATTAGGTATGGAAAACCAAGATCCAATAGTAGATCGATAGCTCTAAAGACCATAGAACACCAGATATTATCCAATTATCATACCCATGTGAGTACAAGTATCAAGTAAAAGTCCATATACAGACAAAAAAACAAAAAAAAAATTGCCAGATCCCGTTATCTCGATAATCCTATCGCTTAATTCACATTTACTTAACCAAAAACTTCACAATTATCATAAACATATCTATCTGGACCTACATTGCATAAAATATCGTAGATAGATTGATATATGTCCTCTTCTTCACACATACAGAACCACAAATCTACATAAATAATGAGAGTTGGGATAAATCACGGATGCGTACATGCAGATCTAATTATTTACTTAGAATTTTCAAATTTCAGTTTAATTTACATAAACAAACTAATTAGTGCAAATCACGTATGTTTTAGCAAAAAGCAGAAGGGATAGTAGCCGACACAAGTCTATATAGTCCCAATCGAACTTAATACCACCAATTCAAGGAACGAATGACCGAGAGACAGGGGCGTACCTGTAAACGGCGGTAGAAGAGGAAGATACGAATCAAAATGAGTCTCGAAGAGACTAGTTGTTATTAGTTTGTTTCGTTCTTCCAGTGATAAAGGAGAGAAGAATGGTTGACACGAATCGGAGAGTATGGGAAATGGGGTTATTTATAGAAGCGTGAGGCGGGGTAGGCAGGGATGGGGGTGGGTGAGTGGGTTGTTGAGCTGGGTAGATCTGAAAAAAAAAAAAAACGCCCGCTCACGCGCCAGTGAAAGCGTAAATATTACGATGAAAAAACCAATATAGTTTTTTTTTTCTTTAGACAAAATTCCAAAACACGTCGTGTGGTTGTCAAAATTATACGGTTTTGGTCCAAAAAAGATTGATAGTGCATCAGTGGTCCAATTTTGGATACCTTGTGCGGATTTGGTCCCTATGTCGTTAACTTTAATATTTTGATTGTTAACTTTTTTTAAAATAACTATTTTACCATCATTGACCATTCTACAACTGAGTCTTTTTACTAAACCATAAAAACCATTTTTGCATATATTCCTTTTAACTTTATTGAAGTATTATATATTTGTTTTTTTTTAATTAATTTTTTTAATTTCTTTTTATTCGATTATTTATATATATATTAAAACTTTGTTCCTTATGAGTTGTAAACTTGCATGTTTTTTTGTCAATTTTCCCCTCATTTTTTTAGCTATTTTGATATTTTTGGTCTTTTCAATCAAAATTGTTTTATTTTTTAGGAACTTTTTAATATTCAAAGTTTGGTTACAAAACTTTAAAGAATTGACAACTTTAGTCTCTTTTTTAAAAAACTTGCTAATTCCAACCCCTTTAATTCTTTAGCCATTTTGACACTTTTGGTCCATACAATCAAAGCGTTTATATTTTTTCATAAAAAACACAAAAAACGGTTTGGGGCGCAGCCCGGGTTTTTCCGCTAGTTATATATTAATAAATATTATTTTTAATATATAATATTTAATATATTAATAATATTATTTTATTGGAGTATTGATTTTTTTTAATTAATTCTTTTTAATTTCTTTTTTATTGGATTAATTCTTTTTTATTTGATTATTATATATTAATAAATATTATTTTTAATATTAAATATTTATATATCTTAATGAATATTACTTTATGGGATTATTAACTTCTTTTAATTATTTTTTTTAATTTCTATTGTATTAATTCTTTTTTGTCGGACCGAGTTTGAGATATATTTTGGACAAAACCATAATTTTCGGACCGAGTGATAGCGGTGGTGTTGTCCAAAATATGTTATCGTCCGGAATGCCCATTTCGGACGAAGTGGTTATTTTTGCTAAAAAATTGGTTATTTTCTTCAAATACACATTAAAATGTTGTTAGATTACTTAATTTTCCGTTTATTGTTGTACAATAATTCAAATAAATATTAACAAAAAATAATTATAAATATCAGTAGTCCGATAAAATAATATTCTATATTAATATTATATATTTAAAATAATATTTATTCATATATAGCAATTAAAAAAAAGAATTAATATAATAAAAAAAGTTTTAAAAAAGAAATTAACTAAAAAAATTTAATCCAACAAAATTACAAGAACAAGGCCCAAAAACCCACATCTTCTAATTTATTTTAAATATATGAGAGATATCATATTTTGGACAACATCACCACTATCACTCGGTCCGGAAATGATGATTTTGTCCAAAATATGTCTCAAAACTCGGTCCGACAAAAAAGAATTAATACAATAGATATTAAAAAAAAACTAAAAGAAGTTAATAATCCCATAAAGTAATATTCATTAATATATATAAATATTTAATATTAAAATTAATATTTATTAATATATAATAATCCAAAAAATAATTAATCCAATAAAAAATTAAAAAAAGAATTAATTAAAAGAAATCAATACTCCAATAAAATAATATTATTAATATATTAAATATTAAATTTAAAAAATAATATTTAATAATATATAATAATCCAATAAAAAGAATTAATCCAATAAAAAAATTAAAAAAAACTAGTATATAATACTTCAATAAAGTTAAAAATAAGATATATAGAAATGGTCCTTATGATTTGGTAAAAAGACTCAGTTGCAGAAATGATCCCTGATGGTAAAATAGTAATTTTAAAAAAGTTAACAGTCAACCTGTTAAAGTTAACGACATAGGAACCAAATCCGCAGGACCACTGGTGCACCACCAAACCTTTTTGGACCAAAACCGCATATTTTTGACAACCACATGGACCATTTTTGCAATTTTGTCTTTTCTTTAATACCGTTAATAAAAGCCACTATTTCACCAATTCCTTAAAATATTTGCATATTCAAGTTCAACAACAATATCTTAGGCCATAGAGAGTCGGACGTTGGGAGAAGGTCGCTAGCACTCGCCAAGCGCGCTACACACCGCCCCCTGACTTGTGTTAGGGGGCTCGCCATCGGGGATACGCCACCATTTCAACAAGATGTGTGGTGAGAGAGAGATAGAGAGGGGGAGAGAGAGGGGGAGAGAGAGAGAGAGAGGAGCTTGGAATCTTAGACTTTGACAAAACTTGTTAAACCACATTTGACCATTTTTTAAATAATTTAAAAAAAATACTCTCTTTTATATATAAAAAAAAAAGTAGTTGCTTTTTACCCTAAAAACTCAAATTTTTAAATTTTAATCCAACCACTATAAATAAAATACAATCTCAACATTTCACATACATAATTCATTCACCCGCTAGTTACTATTATCCTACTATGGCTCCATAATTGTATCCACTCAATCTATACTCTTCTCAATTCCAATCTTAACCCATGACAGTTTACCAAAACCAACCCCAAACTAATTTCCAATCCCAATCCATACCCTATCCAAAATTCTATCTTGATTAGTTTAAGTTGGTTCAAGAAACTCAATTATTTTCCCAACCGCAACCCCAAACTAATTTTCAATCCGAACCACGCCGCCTAGTTGATGAGTCTACCAATTCTTACGATGAAGGACATGTTCAAGAGCCCGAAGTTGAACCAAATGAAAATGAAATGCAAAATGCAAAGGATAGACGAATAAAGAAGAGAAGGCATTTGCACAAACATGGCTAGATGTATCGCAGGATACAACGACAGGGGACGACCAAAGTAGGCCAACGTTTAAACTTAGAGTTTGGAAAAGTTTTTGTGCCAGTATGAAGAAGGAGTACCGCTTTACTAGTCAAGTGTACTCGAAATGGAGGACCGCCAACAAAAATTCAATGGAATTCAATGACATCTACATGAATGCGACACGCAACCCGCAAAGCGGTGCAAATGAGGTGGATGTCATAGCAAAAGTTTGTCATATTTATAAGGCAAAAGTTGGTAGAACTTTTGCAAATGAGGCATTTTGGGAAGTTGTGAGGGACAAACCAAAATGACTTAATCTAAAAAGTGATGATGATTTTGCGGGTATGTCCAAACAAAGCAGAACTTTTGAGTCAACCCACAATCAATCTTCTAATGCGTAAATCGGGATCGACCTCAACAAAGAATATCCATATGAAGCTCCAAGTTGTCTTATGGGACGAGACAAAGCAAAAGAAAGCTGAAAGGAGTTCAAAGTTCATCGAGTGAAGTGGAGGAGATAAGGACTGACATCCAAGGGTTGGACACTAAGCTTGAAATTTGGAAATGGAAAAAGGATAAAGAAAGGAACCGTGCGCTAAATGATTTCTTAAAAAAAGAAAAGAACTTGGCCGATGAGGATCGTAGCATTTTCAACAATGCAAAGGGCGAATATTGCTAAATAATACTATTGGGATAAGTAGTAGTTTTTTTATGTCTTAAATGTAGTTTTAATTTATATTTTAAGTCGAATATTATGTCGTGTTTTAGATATTAATTCATGCTTTTAGGTATTAAGTCAAGTTTTTAGGAAATAAGTCATTTTTTAATTTATTAATCGTATTTTATGTTTTAATTTATTATAACATTTTTTATTTAATATTAAGTGTTTGTGTTATTAAAAAATATAATTTATTTAATATGATATGTTTGTGTATTAAAAAATATAATTTATTTAAATTTGAAAAAAAAAATCAAGGAGTGCTAGAGGTGCTACCACTCCATATGTGTAACGACCTAAATTTTCAAATAAATTTTTCATTTTTAATTAACCAAAACATTCCCATAAATATGAAATCTCAATGACAATTGTTTTCAAAATCCATAACATCAACATTTTATTTCAAATATCAGAGTGTTCCATCAAAACAAATGTCGAAGGGTGCATGTCGCGCCATCAAGCCTTGCCCTTGCCTTTAGGCTCAGATGTACCTGAAACAATCAACAAACTGTAAGCTAACGCTTAGGTGTTGTTTGTTTTTTCTGAGGCAAAATGTATGCAGTCTGCGGACCACATCTGTAGACCTCTGCAGTAGAAGAGGTGGACCAAACGTCTTCAGTCTGAAAAAAGAAGATTGTTTGTTTTTTTAACATTTGCGGGCTACTAATAAACTGAAATCTAAATAAATTGATTTTTTTTAAACTTGAAAGTGATTTTTTAATATTTTTATGACTTTGTTATAAATAATTAACGAATCCATATCAACTTTTATGTATTATTCTATAAAAAATAAAAATAAAAATGGTATTAATTAACGTATATATTTGATAAAAATCAACAACTTTGGTTGCAAAGTTATAACTAAACATTATAATTAGTGATCAAATAATTTGATACATAAATGGATGGAAATAAACTTCGATTTTTTCAATTAAATCCATTAAAAATGTACCATAAATATTTTCTCGAGAAATTAACGATACTGTATTAAATAATGTTTTACAAAATTTGGAAAAAAAATATAAGAATATATTACGATTTTTTTTTTCATATTTATATAAACAACTTCAACGACTACTATTGTAATAAATTTGTCAAAAATATCATGTTTGTATCGTCGAACGTTTTTTTTTTTAAGTTTTGTAATTTTTTTTTCAAATTGTTTATTGTAAAGCCCGTATATCCGGGCTAGTCAATTTAGAGATAATAGGGATCGAAAACGACTTTTTGACAAAAGATTATTTAGAATAAATAATCTTAACCAAGTTGTAGAATACGTCTCAAGGGTTCCGTACATATAAAGAACGTTGAAATCCGAGTTATAACGAATAAGTTATGGTCCGTCGAAGTTTTACGGAAAACCGGCACGGCACCGGGAGACGTAAATAGTGAATTTTTGATAAAGGACTTTTTAGCCTTAGTGATATAAACAAAATTTGTAGTATACGTTAAACCGAGAATATACGAAAAAAGAACGCCCAAATCTGACTTCGTATGAGGAAGTTATGAATTTTCTAAGATTTGGCATAGCAGTGCACGGTCCGAAACTCGAATTTTAGTTCGAGCGGTTTTTGGGCTACGCGACCTAAATGAGAATTGAAGATCTCATTAATAGGAACTCAACGGTAAAGAGACAGACGAAAACAGAGTCCGTATGTAGAAGTTA